CATTGAATATTCTTGGCTCCCTTGTCAAATATTAGTTGACCATGTACACATGGGTTTACTTTTGGGCTCCCAATCTGTTCCATGGGTCTGTGTGTCTGCTTTTATGATAGTACCACAATGTTTTCATTACTATAGTTTTGTACTATAGTTTGAAAACAGGAAGTGTGATGCATCCAGATTTGTTCTTATTTCTCAAGATTGCCTTGGCTATTCAGGGTTTTTTTGTGGTTCCATCATAAGTTATCTTTCCATTCGTTTGTGTCTTCTTCAATTTCTTTCATCAGTGTCTTACAGTTTTCAATGTATATATCTTTTGCCTCCTTTGGTTGAATTTATTCCTAAGTATTTTATTTTATTTTCTGGACCTATTGTAAATGGGATTGTTTTTGCTTTTTTTTTTTTTTTTTTAAGATTTTTAAAAATTATTGGACAGAGAGAGAGAGAAGAGTAGAAGCAGGAGAGAGCAGAGGAGAGGGAGACACAGACTCCCCACTGAGCAGGGAGCCTGATGCAGGGCTTAATGCCAGGCTCCTGGGATCATGACCTGACCTGAAGGCAAACACTTAACTGACTGAGTGACCCGGGTGCCTGGGATTGTTTTTTAATTTTTCGAACAGTTTGTTGTTAGCTCATAGAAACATAATTGATTTTTGTATGTTGATATTGATCATGGTGTGTGATCCTTTTGATGTGCTATTGAAGTCAGTTTGCTACTATTATGTTAAGAATTTTTGCACCTATGTGAACCAGGGATATTGGCCTATAGTTTTCTTATAGTATCCTACAACTTGCCTAAATTTGTTTATTAGTTCTAACAGTTTTTTAGTGGAGACTTAGGGTTTTCTATAGATGAGATGTTATCCACAAACGGAGATGATTTTACTTCTTCCTTTCCATTTGTATGCCTTTCATTTCTTTTTCTTGCCCAATTGTTCTAGCTAGGCTTTCCAGTACAATGAATAGGAATGGTGAGAATGGGCACTCTTATTTCTGATTTTAGAGAAAAAGCTCTATTTTTCACCACTGAGTATGATGTTAGCTATGGGTTTGTCATATATGGTCTTTATTATTAAACATATTATTATTAAACATACCTTTATTAGAGGTGTGTTCCCTCTATACTTAATTTGTTCAGATCTTTCATCATGAAAGGGTTTTGTTTGTTTGTTTGTTTTTTTAAGATTTTACCTATTTATTTGACCGAGAGAGTCACGGCGAGAGAGAAAATACACGCAGGAGGAAGGGGAGTGGAAGAGGAAGAAGGAGGCTTCCTGCCAAGCAGGCAGCCCGATATGGGGCTTGATCCCAGGACCCCAGGATCATAACCCGAGCTGAACGCAGATGCTTAATGACTAAGCCAACCATGTGCCCCAAGGGTGTTGAAATTTTCAAACACCTTTTCTGCATCTATTGACAGGATATTCTATTTTATTTTTTACTAATGTATACTTGACATACAATGTTATATTAGTTTCCTGTGTACAGCATGGCAATTTGACAAGTTTATTTGTTATGCTATGCTCATCACAAGTATAGCTACATTCTGTCACCACATGCTATTACAATAGCATTGACTATACTCTCATGCTATACCTTTTATTCCCATGGCTTATTCATTCCATAACTAGAAGCTTGTGTTTCTTTAGTGTTCTTTCATTTCAACAACTCCCTTTACCATTTCTCATAAGGCAGGACCAGTGGTGATGAATTCCCTTAGTTTTTGTTTGGGAATGTGTCTCTCCTTCACTTCTGAAGGGTAGTTTTGCTAGGTTTATGCTATATCGTGATTTATAAGAAATATGTATTTGATCAACTCATATATATTTGGTCTTTGTCCACTGTTCCTGCCTCACATCTCCCCAAACCCTTGGAATTTCCTAAGTGATCAGAGTGATAAAGGTATCTCTAACAAGAGACACCTCATGTTAATGAGGCAAGTTTTAGACCCCACCTAAGATGGGGGGCCGGTTGCCAGGAAAATCAACCATATGACCAGAACTTTCAGTTCTACCCCCAGACTTCTGGAAGGGGAGTGAGGCTGGAGACTGAATCAATTGACAATGACCAACGATTTTAATCAATCATGCCTGTGTAATGGAGTCATCATAAAAACCGCAAATCATGAGTTTTTAGAGAGCTTCCACACTGGTGAACACATGGAGATGTGGAAGAATGATGTGCCTGAGGAGGGAATGGAAGCTCTGCACCCTTTCCTCAGACTTTGTCCTATGCATCTCTTCCACCTGGTTATGCCTGAGCTACATGCTTTTGTAATATGCTAGTAATCTAGTAAGTAAAATGTTTCTCTGAGTTCTGTGAGCTGCTCTAGCAAGTTAATCAAAACTGAGGAAAGGCTTGTGGGAATCTGATTTATAGCTAGTTGGTCAGAAGTACGGTAACATCCTGAACTTCTGTGGTGGTGTGTGGGGAAACCCCCCAACTCCCCTTGGAATTGGTCCAGGAACCCAAAAGAATAGTATTCTTGGCTGGCAGTTTTTCTTTTCAGCACTTTGAATAGATCATCCCACTCCTTCCTGACCTCATGGTTTCTGCAGAAAAATCTGCAGTTAGCCGTGTGAGGGTGTTCCCTTATATGTGATGAGTCATTCTCCTGCTGCTTTCAAAATTCTCTCCTTGTCCTTGATTTTTAATTTTTTAAAATATTTTATTTATTTATTTGATAGAGATCACAAGTAGGCAGAAAGGCAAGCAGAGAGAGGGGGGAAGCAGGTTCCCCACTGAGCAGAGAGCCCTGGGATCACGACCCAAGCTGAAGGCAGAGGCTTTAACCCACTGAGCCACCCAAGCACCCTAATGTTTTGATTATAATGTGTTTTAGAGTAATCTTTCAACTGATCCTTTGAACTGCCTGGACCTGGATGTACATCTCTCTCTCAAGATTTTGGAAGATTTTAGCTATTATTTCTTTAAGTAATCCTTAAATAATCCTTTTCTCTCCTTTCCTGGGATGCCTGTGATACAAATGCTCATTTGCTTAATGGTGCTCCATAATTCATGTAGGCTTTCTTCACTCTTTTTCATTCTTTTTCTTTTCATTCCTCTAATTTCAAATGATTGGTCTTCAAGTTCATTGATTCTTCTGCATGATCAAGTCAATTGCTCTGTCAGTTGATCAAGTCAAGAAACTCTGTCTTGAATTTTTCAGTCTGTCATTGTATTCTTTAGCTCCAGACCTTGTTTCATTGTTTTATGGTTTGTATTTATTTATTAAGCTTCTCATTTTGTTTACGTGTTTTTCTCCTGATTTCATTTAGTTGTTTATCTGTGTCCTCTTGTATTATATTGAGTTTCCTTAAGATGACTATTTTTTAATTTGTTGTCACACAAATCATAGCTCTCCATTTCTTTAGGATCCGTTATAGGAGTTTTATTAGTTTTCTTTGGTGGTGTCATGTTCGCCTAATTCTTCATGATCCACATAAACCTTGCATTGTTTTCTGTGCATCTCAAGAAGCAAAAACCTCTGTTTTTACAGAATAGTTTGGCAGCCTCCCTGGCTGATGGGATTACCTCTGACACTACAGTTATGCAGGACTGGAGTCAATTTCAAGGCTGTTGCTCGGTATATGATGTGGTCTGCAGTTGACATTGTTGTTACCAGGGAGTCAGGTGTGGATCATGTCTGGTCCCTGGATGGCTGAGATAGCTCAGTACCTTGTTCGGCAGAGTAGCCTGGGACAAGAGGTCACTTTACAGTCCACAGCTCCTCAGTCAGCAGACCTATTACCAGGTGTGTGAATGGGTACAGCTTCCACTAGGTCCCTGGGAAGGCTCCTCCCTACTTGCTGGATGAGTCCCTGGGAGGGCAAGACTGACCCTGGACTACAATTGAGAGGAGCTGCAAAGTCCCGGAACTGTTTCAGGTTTCACAGCCACAACTGAGATCTGCAGACCTGCCTCTGAAGGTGCAGGTGGATGTCTCCCATGAGGTCTCTGGGTTGGTTGACTGGTCCCTGATCATCGCTGGAGGAGCTGAAGCAGAACATATGGCCCTTTCTGATCTCCTGAAGTGCAGAAATGAGCATCCACCAGGTCCTATGGGACTACTCATGGACTGCAGCTAGGAGGGTTCTAGAACTGAGAATAGGGCACTTTCAGAATCTTCAGGGTTGTAGATTAAAGTGTCTCCTGCTGGGTCCCTGGAAAATGTCTGAAGGCATATTTTGGTTTTGGTGGGTATTAAAGTAAAAACTACAGTCATAGAGAAACATACCACATGAGGGATTTGGTTGAAACCTTAGGAGTTTGTCAAGGCTGATTTTATAAGTGTAAGGGCCTACTTAGCCAGAGGGAGCCATTTTGTTGTTTATGCAGTAAACTTAGATTGACCCTGCCCCTCCCAGAGAAACTTACTTAAAAGCAAGTCCAGGAAACCAGTCCCAGGTAGTAAAGCTCAGATACAAGGGCGGGTCAGGCCAGGTGGAGACATCCAATCAGTGGGGCACATGTACTGTCTCCCTTGCTACCAAGGAGAGTGGGCCCCGCCTTTTGGGTGCCAATTCTGACCAAGGTGATAGGCTAGTTCAAATATCTACTAGGGTAAATTGAAAATCAATTGGCCACCCGTGTGTGACCTAGCATGACTGTGCAGTTTTCTCTGTGTGTTGCAATCCCATTGGCCACCTGTGTGTTGCCAGGCTCAACCACATGGCCTTTGCTCTATAAAAGTTAGTCTGTGAGGCTGGGAGGGGTCGCCTCTTTGTAAGAGACGGCCCCAACCAGTTGGTTTGATTCTCGATGCTTGGCGCGAAATAAAGCATTTCTTGACCTTCACTTTGTATCAGTCTCGCTCCTTTGATCATGGACCCATTATTGGGGGACATATCAATAAGTATTTTCAGTTGTAAAATCTTGGGGTGGTGAGAGCACATTTTGTAATGCTAGTTTTTCAAGACTATCAGTAATTTCCAAATTTAAATAATCTATTCTGAAATATTTTTTCAATAGTGTCTCCCATTTTTAAGTAAGAAGGACTATACCTCGCTTTCTTTTTCTGGATGTTTTTCAACCCACATTCTTGGGAGATATGCATCAGACAAACCAACGTGAAGAGAGAATCCATCAATGTCTAAGGAGCTACCTTCCATGGTGCTAATTACAGCTTTGCAGTCTGTGCGCTACAAAACAAACAATAATGACAACAAAGTAAATATTTGAATAATAACATATGATCAATTTGCAGTTACCTGTCAAGTGGCAAATCCCTGCATAATTTTTTTAACTCCATCACGAATCAACAAGGTAGTAATAAATTCCAAAATTATGAAATTTTTAGAAGTCCTGATCATTATCATAACAGTTACCCTCCTGAAATTCTAAGGTTGATCAACACAGTCAAATTGAGAAGTCTGAGACAGTCCAAATCCTGGATCCAAAGATTACAGATCTATGTATTTAGGTAGAACTATATCGATATAGCATTATAGCACATAGTAGTACACTAGAACTCAGAATAGTAAAAATAGAAAATTCAACAGAAATCTTATAATTATGCCTTATTTTTAAATTACATTTTCATAAATATAAAATAACTTTTGAAAATGTGGATGATGAGCTTTAAAAAAATGAAGGCAATGGGATAGATTATAAAATGGCCATAAAGTCTTTCCATTCCTGTGTGCTTGTTCCTTTGTAATGTGACTTTGCATCTCTTCCTATCAGAAGGTAACACCTATTTCTCTGCCCTTGAATCCAAAGTTGGACAATGTGACTTGCTTTCATGTGATGCAAGAGGCTTGGAAAACCTTGGTGCAATGGGGCTTGCCTTCCTCTGTTGCTACTGAGAACTTTTCCACTAACTATATGAATGAACCTGAGCTAACCTGCTGGATAAAGAGAGACATGGTCATCACCCCAACTGACACCAGGCCGCCCATCAGGTATTAGAATAAGCCCATTCTAGACTATCCTGTCCCAGGCAAGCCAGGGCAGCCCATTAGAACTGCCCAGCCAATTCACAAAACTGTGAGAAATAACAAATGTTATTATTTTAAACCATAAGGTTTTGAGAATGTTACACAGCAGAAGCTATCTGATGCAGAGGGTTTCTTGTTGAGGATAGAGTAAATATATATGTTTTCCTCTATTCTTAGCAAAATCCTAAAATTCTCTACCTTAAAAAGGAACCAATTAAAGGGTTTAAACCCGTAAAGATATTGAGGATAGGAACAAAGACAATAGCAGTTGAGAGATGTCAAAAATTTAAAAAAAAAATGGAAAGTTGATAGAGGTATGGTAAGTGACTCAGCTAGAGTGGCGGTAGCTACTACCTGGGTCTGGTGGGGGACTACAGCAACCTGGTAAGGCTCATACCCTTGTGGTACTGCAGAAAACAGTGGTAACTAGCAAGTAGACTATGAACTAAGTTCTTAATACAGGCCCCCTCCCTTTCCAAAGTAATGAAGCAGTTAGCACCAATAACTAGTACTCTGTTCTCTCATTAAAGAAAACTGAAGATTCATTTCTTAGAAAAATTCAAGCAAACAGCATCCACATTGGGGAATTTTAGGCATAAAAAAGCATAAGAATATAAAAAAAAAAGCATAAGAATATAGGTCAGTAAACTGGGGAATGAAGTAAAAGTTGGCATCCTAATGTGTGGGCCCCTCAGTCACTCTCCCTAGTCATACTTTATGAATAAGCTAGAGATGTTCTGAATAACCACAGAAGGGCTAAACCACCACCACGAGACTCACCACCCAACAGCCAGCCAGTTGCCAGGGCCTCTAGTACAGGGTCTTTGGTCCACTAGTTAGCTCCACTCACCTCAGAGCACCTAACTAGCTTTCTTGTGTCTCAGTTACAGTTGAACACAGAGAGGTCACCCAGGCATTTGAGGAAAAGCCTCTAACCCAAAATATGGAAACCAAAAAAAGAAAAAGCCAGAAAAAGAAAAAAGGAACTTAAAAAAAAAAAAATACAACCCAGGGAAGAGAAAAAATATATATATTGTGTTTTCAGAGAAACAAGAAAGAGAAGATAATGTACCCATGAAACACAAAAGATGCTATAAAAAAGGAGTACTGGGGCACCTGGGTGGCTCAGTGGGTTAAAGCCCCTGCCTTCGGCTCAGGTCATGATCCCAGGTTCCTGGGATTGAGCCCCGCATCAGGCTCTCTGCTCAACAGGGAGCCTGCTTCCTCCTCTCTCTGCCTGCTTCTCTGCCTACTTGTAATCTTTGTCAAATAAATAAATAAAATCTTTAAAAAAAGGGGGGGTACTTATAGAACAGAAAAGAGTTCTTACAAATTAAAAATGAGAACTTTTTAAACACAAATTTCAGTAGAATGGAATTTAAAATTGAGAATATTAGCCAGAAAGTAGAACAAGGAAACAATACAAAGGTCAAAGGAGAGAAAAAGAAAGAAAACAAGAGGCTCAATCCAGGGGACAGCTGACTTCAAGGCAATGCAAAAGGTGAAGGAAAGATGAACAATTTATTGTAAAAAAAATGTAACAAAATTTCCCAGCACTAAAGGCTATGCATTACATACAATGAATGACTATCACATTCCTATGAAATTTCAGAATACCAGGGATAAAGAGAAGATCTGAAACTCTTGTAAAATTTAAAACAAAACAAAACAGACTACATACAAAGAATGGGAGATAAGAATAGCATTTAACTTCTCAAAAGTCACACTGGAAGCTATAAGATAATGTTTTCAATATTCTGAGGAAGATGATTTTCAACCCAGGATTAAACATCTCAGCAAATGATCAGCATTCACACATGGATTAAGGCTAGCTGCAGACATTGCTGCCCACATGCTGAGGAAATTAACAGAGGCTGTGCTCTGCCAAATGGAGGGGAAAAAAACAAGAAAGAGGATAAAGAGGAAAAGCCCTACAAAGGAGAATCATAAAGAAAGGCCCTGGGACAACAGATGTCCTGTGGTAACCAAGCTGCATTGGGAGAGGACAGACAGAAGGGAGGAAGGTCTCAGGGGAAAAACATTATCTGAATTATTAAGAGCATTCAACAGTGACCAACCAATAGTATTCTGAAGAGTTTCAATCTATGTGTAAGTGAGGTTAATGGAGAGATAAGAGAAGGAAATTTTCAGGTACCACAACAGGAAATAAAAAAATAATTTTGAATCAGATGAATCAAGAACAAGCAGTTAAAAAAAAAAAAAAAGAGCAATTACAACTTTGGAGGGCACCAGAAAGGAGGTAAAATATTTAAAGTGGTTCACTGTCTCTGGAGGCTGGTCTGGAAGATGCAGGGCAGAACCAGGCTGCTGCTTCTTGTGAGAAGCTGTTGTTAGCATTATTTTCTTCTTCTTTTTAAGATTTTATTTTTTAAGTAATCTCTACACCTAACGTGGGTCTTGAACCCAAGGTCAAGAGTTGTGTACTCCGCCGACTGAACGAGACAGACACCCCTGTTATTAGCATTATTTTTTAAAATTTTTAAACCACTTGAATGAATTGCCTTTATAAAATAAAACTAATGCTAAAATAAAAGCTCCTAAAAAACAAAACAAAGATTTACTAACCTTTTGTCTCAGTTTATGTGTATCACTAGAAATGGATTCAATCACATATGGCATCTCAATGGACATAGTCAAAGAGAAGCTACCAAAAAAGAAGAAAAAGTCTATGATCTTAAATATTAAACAAATACTTGTTGTCATTTTATAGAATTTTAAGTAATATTTGAAACCATAAAACTAATATCAATTGAATGTCTTAAGAGGTTTTATATTTTTGGTACTAACCTTTGTTTTGTTCCTATTTTCTCTATATAAATCTTCTCTACTGTATCCTGTTAAAAGAAAAATATATATGTATAACTAAATATCTACTAAGTTTCACAATGAGAACTCTGAAGGTAATGTTACCAAGACTACTGAAGGTAATGTTAAACTGAAGGTAATGTTACCAAGTATAATCTATAGCAGCAACAAGACAACCGGTCTCACTTCCCAGTACTGAGACATAGAACATTTGCTCATGGAATCACAGTAACTTCTAAAATGCAACTGATATCAGGGATAATTTATCACCAATTTAACAGAGATTTTCAACTATACATATGTCTATTTGTGTGTACACACACACACATACACACACACATATACATCATACCTCAATATGCATACACACACACACACACATACACAATTTATATAAATACACACAAAGTAGAAACAAACTGTTACCCAGTAGCTTGTTCTACAATCTCTGGCAATGGAATTAAGGATTGTTGAAATTTTCCTCTTTGGTTTATTTGTATTCTTTATGCTTATCTAAATTCCTCACAATGAACATGTAGTACAGACACAAAATTTTTTTAAGTGACTGAACGGAGTAAAAATATTACACCTATTGAGCATAACTGTGTCTTTATTCTTTTCATTTTACAAACATCACATGTATCTAAATGCATAAATGGCATTAAATTGACTTCATGCCAGAAAGATTAGACTTTTTTCATGTATTATTATTACTATTTTTTTTTTTTTTTTAGAGAGGGGGAGAGAGAGAGAGAAGCATGGGAGGAGGGAATGAGGGAAAGAGAGAATCTTAAGCAGGCTCCCACCTAGCATGGAGCCCAACTCAGGGCTTGATCTCACAACCCTGAGATCATGGACCTGGGCCCAAATCAAGAGTAAGATGATTAACCAACTGAGCCACCCAGGTACCCCTGGAAAGATTAGCTTATTTTAGATGTTTTTAAATTCCTTATCAATAAATCATCAAATAAAAACTTCTTTAAAACTTCCTAAGCATACAAACCTGAATGTTTTCATTCAAAACTTTGTCCTGTTGCCAGGGTGCCACAGCAGCAGGCATGAAGAAGACAGCCCTGTTGCCTTGGATGCTGAGTTCCGTGATGTAGGTAACTTTGATAAGGACCTTAGCCTTAGGGGGTAGATTTCCAACACTAACAGTAAAAACATCCTGAAATAGAAACACATGACTCATTTTTCTCCTCAAAAGTACATCCATTCTAGGCCAGTTAATCCCTCTTATTACATGAGCCACTTAAATTATAATCTACCAGACTCTTCCTCAGAAAATGAGCATAGACCTTACAAGACGAATGGGCATGGGCAGTGCTTAAGGAGAATCCTGGAGCAGGTCCGCAGGGGATGGCATGACATCTATAGGGGGGTAGAAGGATAGGAGGCCCTTTGGGAACAGGACCTTGCCCTGACTGGGGAGTGTCACCTCTGTTCTCTACACCAGAGGCCCTGCATGCACGGCTCTGTTGGACAGACAGTCTCCACATAGCCCCTTCTTGAAGAAGCTGTAGCCTCTCTGACCTCCACAGCATCTAGCAGCAATTCCACCAGTGGCTGTAGAGCTAGAACAGTTTCACTAACTTGGTCCTCACTTTATTCCTTTGCCCTGCAGTTCGTGCATCATTTTATCTTTTTTTAAAAAAGATTTTATTTATTTATTTGACAGACAGAGATCACAAGTAGGCAGAGAGAGAGGGGGAAGCAGGCTCCCCGCTGAGCAGAGAGCCCGATGTGGGGCTCGATCCCAGGACACTGGGATCATGACCTGAGCCAAAGGCAGAGGCTTCAACCCACTGAGCCACCCAGGTGCCCCCATCATTTTATCTTTTAGAAAAAGTATTTCACTTTCTTTTCTTTTCTTTTTTTTTTTTTTTTTAAGATTTTGTATATTTATTTGACGGACAGAGATCACAGGTAGGCAGAGAGGCAGGCAGAGAGAGAGGAAGGGAAGCAGCCTCCCCACTGAGCAGAGAGCCCGACATGGGGCTCGATCCCAAGACCGTGGGATCATGACCTGAGCCGAAGGCAGAGGCTTTAATCCACCGAGCCACCCAGGCGCTCCTTTCACTTTCTTTTAAAGGGGCATTATAATCACTACATATAGGGATAAGCTCATGACTGGCTAGGGCAGAAAAAAAGAGAGGCTAGATCTATTTTTTCTGATACCTACACAGAGAAACTCTTAACACCCCATGCATATCTTCCCATACAGTTGGCTGCAATGCCATGAAACTTTTTGGTTTCTATTTGGTTTCTAGTTTGGAAAACTATTTTATGTTTGGGAACATATAATACTAATGATTAATTTAGATTTCAGGAGTAAATGATTACTTTTGACATCAAGGATATCCATTTGCAAGAAGATCCAATAAAGAAATGGATTCCTGTGAAGGGATAAACAATGAAGAGGTAATTATTGAACAGTTCACAGTGCTTGTCCTTAAAAAAAGTGCATAATAGCCTGGGTCTTATTTGAGACACTGCCACATAATAGTGTGGATTTGCAGTTCCATTTCTGTGTAGGACATAGATGCAGGATGTCACTTCTGTTACAAGCTGGATAATTCACAACACTGTAACTTGCTTGACCTGGCAGAAAGCTGAGTTGCAAGGCAGCCAAGTAAACTCAATTCCAAAGGGTTAACAAACCCCTCCGAGGAGAGGTGAGGCACAGGAGCTGTGGGGATTTCCCTATGGGCTCCCAGGGGGCTAGCATCTTGGTGCATATGGGGGAACTCATGTAGGTGAAGAGCGCGGGAAGCACCATTTGGTGCAAGACACTTTGTCCTCCTTTCTGATATAATGAGGTTTGAAATGTTAGGTGTCCCTACATAATTTTCAAACACAAATCATTTTCACCTCAATCCCTTGGATGTCTAAAGCCACTTTGCTAGTCTTCTGATAGTTGGGAACATCGTATATATAATATATATAACATATATACATTATATATATTATAAATTATAACAGTAATATACATTATGTTTTACATGCACAAACATATAATGTTCCCAAGTATAGAATACTATTTTATATGTATATATATGAGTATGTGTGTGTGCATATATATATAAAATGTTCCCAACTATTAGAAGTCTAGCAAGTAGAGAATATATACTTATATATTAAATATATAACACATATATAATAATATATAATATCTATAATACATTATATAATTACATTATTAATATAATATATTTTAGAGTGAGGACATTATAGTAGCTGGATGGCAAAATACATTCTGGGGTACCTAAAGGCGCTGGTTAGCAATGGTTCTGACCAGACTTTATCCACAGGTAATACCCTTTGTGAAGACTGTTTTCCTGTGGATCTTTTTCTTAGGGAAATATCATCAAGGAGGAACTATGCCAACCAATTCTTTTATGACAATAACCTCACACTGTGAAATAAACCCCAGGCTTTTAAATATATACTTTGGCCAGGAGTAGCATTATTAACTGTTTAACAAGGACCTCTTCCTTGCTTACTTCCATTTTGCAAAAGGTTATCTTATATGTAAAAAGCAATCATTTGTCCTTTAACTCTGTATTAATCTTTAGTAACTCCCCCCTCCACCAACATTAAATTTTCACAATGCTATGGCAATGTGGCATCCTCAGAGGTAGCATCTGAGGCACGTGGACCTGTCCTCAAAAACAACTAAATGTCTATGCTGGAGACAACGATTACAAACAGCACACAATCTAGTATCTGCCAAAGGCATATTTAAAGCATCTTATATTTAAGAAAAGAAATCTAGTGGACATGATAGCTGTCCCTTCTTTCAAATTTTCCATATTTTATCCCTATGAAAGCAATTAATCAGAAAGAAAAGAATCTGGACCTACCTCAGGACCCTGTAGAAAACTCTTCCCGGGATATAACTTGGTGAAAACTGGATAAATTGCTAGATAAGCTTAGTCCTAGGACAAATGTATATGTAGTGGACCCTTGAATGAGGTTGCTGATGCCTGTGCAGCCAAAAATCCACTTATAACTTTTGACTCCCTAAAAATTTAACTATTAATAGCCTACTATTGATTGGATGCCTTACTGATAACATAAACAGTCAATTACCACATACTTTGTATGTTAGATGTTATATACTAAAATCTTAAAATGAAGTAAACAGGAGAAAAGAAAATCATAAGAAAGACAAAATACATTTACAGTGCTGTATTGTATATTTAACCAAAAAAATCCCCTACAAGTGGATCTATGCAGTTCAAAACTGTGTTGCTCAAGGGTCAACTGTATATTATACTCTCTTATCAGAAGATGAAGATTATGTACCCCCAAATGTTTTCTTTTTGTTGTCACTTCTGGGAAACTCAGTTCCCAAGGTCAAAAGTAGGTCTTCTTATTTGTTTGGCAATACCGACACCATTTCCTCCTACCTTTAGCTAAGTCGAATGGTTCTGACCAGATAGACCTCTGCTTGCTAACAGCAAGTTAAACTCTAGGCCTAAAATCGCAGAAATTATCCCAGTTTCTACTATGGACTTCATGTTTCAAGTCGTATTCCAACTCTTTCTCCCTTCTGATAAGTGTGCTAGACTAAGGGATAAATCAAGCCGTACGGGTGCATCCTGATCCATCAAGTACGCCCCATGGCCCTGAGCGATGGCTTCTCGGTATTCACGGTGGGCGGCTCCCTTCTCTTTAACCTGGAAAAGATTATTTTTATACCAGTCATGGTATGAATAATGATTTCAGACTTTAACAAGAAAAACTGCAGCAATGTTTATTAAAACCTAGGTAAAACCCAGAAAGCTAAGAGCCTAAGGTGAATGGAAACTTATATAAAGTACATTAAAATGTACTCATCTAGTAAGAATTTGAAACAGAAAAGGCCAACTAAAGAGAAATCTCTTTAATTTGTTGGGACCATATTTCAGAGTCAATAGTGAAAAAAAAAGTTTGATTGGGACTTTATGTTGAACAAAAATAGTTAAGTTTACCTTACATTTAACAAAATGTGTTATTATTGCAACTGTAGGCTAATCCTTAGAATAAATAAAGAATGTATCACTTGTTATTTCTTTTGGTACAACTTTTCTTAAAAAGTTAACAACAGTAGTCATCGCATCAATTTGACTGTTACAACAGGATGCAAAGGATCAGTTTTTTGCAAAATTATAGAAAGTCTTCACCAATTTTCCATGGTGCCTCTCTTAAACTTTTGATATTGAAATTGCTCTGTTTCAAAGTGCTAGGCAAGGAATTTACAAGTCATTGACTGATGAACACTGGACAGGTAGGGATAGAAACTAGTTTATCAGGAAGGGATGTTTAAATGGAATCCAACTGTATAAATGCTTGGTTCTTTGAAGAATATTTCTGTTTTATGATAAGGCTTCTATTCAACCTTATAGCTATGGGAACTCAGGTGAGGAAGATTTGGGTAAATGGGAAACTGACCTTAAACCAAAGAGCAGTCACAGTGCATTTTCTCCCCTTACCTCTCCTACTATGTGCTTCCCATTGATGAATGCTTCAAAGCCACACACAGCTGCCTTCTCATTCAAAGGAAAAATATATCTTGCCTCAATAGGCACAGAACTTTGATTGGTATATGTCTGAAAAACAATGACCTGAAGAAGAAAAAACAAAAAAAACACCATATACTTGATGAAACCATATGGAACAACATTTGTAGGAACAACTATTAATGAAAACTATTATGCATCTTTTCTTTAAATTCCTTGAATTTTTATCATGTCTCTCAAATTCCCAACCCTTAGGACTTAGAGCATTCTTTGACTGGAATATAGAGTCCATGTCACATTATAAAGTGTACCAGCTACAGTTTCAGGTAATTCATACACTCTTGGCTGGAATAAAAGTCACTAGTATTACAATATTACAAACATTCACTTAACAGAAGCAATGCAGCTTCGTCAAGATGACAACAAGATAGCCTCTTTCTGTGTGGTCTTGATCCCTCCTTAGTGTCATGTGACCCAAACACTATTCCAGAATAGTTCTTTTTTTTAAACATTTTATTTATTTATTTGACAGACAGAGACCACAAGTAGGCAGAGAGGCAGGCAGAGAGAGAGAGAGGAAGAAGCAGGCTCCCTGTGGAGCAGAGAGCCCAATGTGGGGCTCGATCCCAGGACCCTGGGATCATGACCGAGCCGAAGGCAGAGACTTTAACCCACTGAGCCACCCAGGCACCCCCCAGAATAGTTATTTTTTTTTTAAGGATTTTATTTATTTATTTGACAGAGAGAGAGATCACAAGTAGGCAGAGAGAAAGAAGGGGAAGCAGGCTCCCCACCAAGCAGAGAGCCCGATGCAGGACTCACTCCATCCCAGGACCCTGAGATCATGACCTGAGCTGAAGGCAGAGGCTTAACCCACTGAGCCCTCCAGGAGCCCCCCCAGAATAGTTCTTATACCTGTTCTGTTTTCAGGTCTTGGCATTTCCCTCCTTTACCTCTCTGTATGTAGCCCTCCATAGCTCTTTCCATCTATCCTCACCTCTTCCTGTCTAGTCAGCTCCTGAATCAACTCTTTTCCACTCCTACCTGCTGTCTCTGTTCTTAGCAGATTCATTTTATTAATGGACTGTGTTTATCACATCACTCCCTTGCGTAAGAAAAGACCAGTCTTTAAAGAATTGAAAATTACCAAAAAAAAACCCCCCAAAACGCAAGACATATAATAAAGAATAATATTTTAAACATGTGGCAATAAGGAAAAAAAATTAGTCATTCGTCATCAATAATCTCTGGGAAGAGACTGAAATGAAAAACAAAAGCATAAAGGAAACAAACTTATTCCATAATGCTGTCTACAACTGGATTTACAGTAAGCTGCATTGCCCTTAGTGTATGTGCTGCACTAGAGGAAAAAATTTTAAGGGGCATAACTTGACTGTCTTCAAATCAATAGGTCAGCACCTTTCAGGGGATCGATTCTCTCATAGTTCTGCAAACAAAGGCCTCATTGGCTGGTGCAGCCACCTGCTCACCAGGCTCACCCTGAAACTGGAGGCTGGCCATGGCCCTGAATTGATCCTGTAGGATCTTAGAGTTTCTTGGGTGTCTGGGTGATCTGAGCCATCATAAAAGGTCAGAGAGCAACAGGCAGAGAGCCATGCAGATTGCTAACCAGGAAGATATCACGCATGTTCCCCGTGCATAGAACTCTTCATTTCTCTCTTGGATATTCAATTTTACCAAACCCCTCAAGGGCACGTATGCTTGACCTGTAACTGCCACATAGGGTCACTGTCTAATTGTCCTTTGGTTTGGGTTCATGTTTCCATTCTGCTCTGTGGATGTCCTGCCTGCATCTAGTTAGCAGGTCTGTCTTTGCACAGGAGTTCCCGGGGGTCAGGTCTATGTCAGCTTCACTCTCTGTATATCACATGGTATGACTGGGCACTCAGAAAGCAAGACATTTTAGGTAATGATGATAGAAGTATTTTTACTAGAACTTAGAAGAGAAGCTAATATACTGTACTAATTTTGGATATCTTTATTTTCCACCCTCAGATGAAACCACTATTTTAGTTTAGTTATTAAACTAAAAACACTAAACTCATTCCAAGAAGAGTCTAGTATGTGAGCTATGAACATACAAGTCCTTGCTGCTGAGCCTCTGTTTGGATTCCCAATGACAATCTCCAAGCCAGCTGTCTAATCACAAATAGGTGAAAAATTCACTGCTAAATCACGAGTTATTTTTTTTTTTTTAGAAAGTTACCAATAGAAAAAGCTTCATCAGGTTTAAAATATCAAATGGTGCAAGTTGTCTAATCCAAAGTAATGTACCGAGGATGTATGCCTCTCTTTGTAACACACTCATTAGTTTTTTATCTATATCTGTGAAAAAACGCCCTATAACCTTGACATTCATTGTATTTAATAGCCACATGCTAACTGGCAGATACTATTGTTTCCATTTTACATTTAAGGAAACTGAGGCACGAAGAAGTTAAAAAATGATTTTTCCAAGGTCGCAGAGCTGGAAAAAAATGAGCGAGGATTCAAAGTGAAGCCTCCAAACTCTAAATTCTCTGCCTTATACAATGCATCCCAGGTTGCACTACTGCATAGTAGTTAAAGAGGCTGGACTTGAGAATCAGAATGATCAGGGTTCAAATCTGTGCTTTATCATATTGTTCAATGTCGCCATACATCAGCTTCCTCATCTAAATAACGGGCATAATCACAGCATTCACCTCATAGGGTTTTAGGAGAATTAAATATAGCATGTGAAAACTCAATCCAGGGCCTGATTTATAGGAAGTGGTAACCACTATGGTCACAGTTCCTAGGTGGCTCCAAAGAGATTAGCAAGGGTTGAACATTTACTATGAGTGCACATCAGGGTCTTCCCAAAGTCTATGTTGTCTCCTTGAGCTATTCAGTGATGTGGGTATGGATCAGAGTGGGCCTGGAAATGCAAACAGAGTGGTCCATATGCAAACTGATGAGATATCATGGGTAGCATGCCCTGTCCCACCCAGGATACCCCATTTCCCCAGTTCAAGATGACCACTACAATTAATCTGATTTCCCTCTGAAGAGGGAGGAATATCACAATATTGGACTCAGATGTTCTTATTTTTCTAAGAGGTCTTTATAGTTGGTCAGTGCAGTCTTCAGTGTTTAGGAATGAATGATGAGGTCAAATCTTAGAAAACAGAGAGCCCTCACAGTACACTGGCAGCCTGCCTGCATGTGTGCCCATGAACTCTACTTTCTGTTCTGTGACCACAGCTGTACCAGCTGCATGCTTCTGGCTGAGGCCAAGCACTGCACTTGAGCATTGGCTCTCCCCATCTCCCCCTCACAGAACAGTGCATCTCCAGCAGTCCCCTCTGTGATACTGTGATTTATAATAAATATTTATTTTGGTCTTTGCACCTGTTTCTGGCACAGAGCTCCCCAAACCCTCAGAATTTCCTAAGTGATAAGAACAATGTAGATTTCTTGGTGCTCATAACAGACCCCTTCCAACCATACCTAAGTTTATGTCAAAGAGGTGACTTTTGACAAGTACCTAGGGATGGGGACTGGTTGCCAAGGGGATTAAAGGTTGGAACTGTCAGCCCCACCCTCAGACCTCAGAGGAGGGGAGAGAGGCTGGAGATTGAGTTCAATCACTGATGGCCAATGATTTAATAATCAACCATGCCTGTATTAACCCAAAAAGACAGGCTTCAGAGAGCTCGAGGCTGGTGAACACATGGAGATTCAGGGTGAGTGGCATGCCTGAACCAGGCAGGGAAGCTCTGTGCCCCTTTCCACACACTTTGCCCTACACATTTCTTCAGGTGGCTTTTCCTCAGGTGTATTCTTCCGTAATAACTATTAATGTCGTAAATAAAATGTTTCCCTGAGTTCTTTGAGCCACTCCAGCACATCAGTCTAACACAAGGAAGGGGTCTTTGGAACCTCCGATCTACAGCCAGCCGGCCAGAGCCCCTGCCACTGGCTTCTGAAGTGGTAGCAGGAAAGGAGAGCAGACAAAACCCCTGACTTCTAGGATCGGACACTATCTCCAGGTGGACAGTGTCAGAATTAGTTACTGCTTCATGGTATGAACACATCCACATCTCACGCTCCCTCTACTGAATCATCAGTTTTTCCCTCTTGCACTGGCTTACACACATGCTATGATTTCTTTTGTCTTAAAAGAAAAAAGAAAACAATCTGATCCCACTTCTCTTCAGCTACTGTCTCATTTTCTCTCCTCTTCCCATTTTCTCTTGAACCCACTCTAATTAAACTTTTAACCCCACCATTCCATCAAAGTGGTAACCGTCAAGTCACCAGTGATCTCCTCATTGCCAAATCCAATGGTCAGGTCTCTTATTTTATTCTACTTGATCCATCAGCTGTCTTCAACAGAGTTATTCCTTCCAGAGACCCTGGCTTCCCGTGTGTGTCTCACTGGCCGTTCCCTCTTCATCTCCTTCGCTGACCCAGCCTCCTTTGCCTGACAATTACATGTTGGCCTTGTCTTCTCTCTCTGCAAGATTCTCTTGGTGTTTCACAATTAAAGTTGTTTCACACAACTTTAAATAATATCTAAGTGCTGGCAACTCCCCCACTTAGGACTCCACAAGGAGTTAACTCTTCCCTTGACTCTAGACTCAAATGCCTAATTCCCCACTTGGCTTTTGCTTCTGGATATCAGCATCTCACATGATAGGGCCAAAGATGACCTCCTGATAGTCCTCCCCAACCTAGCCCTCCTACCACTTCCCCATTCCAGGATGTGCAAACTTGATCGATTGTTCTAGATGCTCAGGCCAAACCTTGGTGTCATCCTTGATTCCTGACTTTCTCTTATGTTCCATATCCATCAGCAAATCTTATTGATTTTACCTTCAATCCTTTGCCAGACCCAATCATTTCTTTCCACTCCCACTGCTAACATTTTGGTCCAAGTCACCATCATCCTTGACAGAATTACTTCAACAGTCACCTACATTTCATACTATACCATGCTCCCAGATGTCCTTTTCAGGACCAAGGCTGCTGAGAGTGTCATCTGCTGAGTCTTTCCCCAGACTGTCCTTAGAAAAAGATGGACCACCTCACTCAAGGTTATGACCTCCCCCAAACCGAGGCAGCCACATCCAGTAACTGGTCCCTCTATAGACACAAAGCCTTGTGCCCTGGCCTCAAGTAAGAACATCTCTGAAGGGCCAGCCCAGATTCAGAGCTCCTTCTGAGATCATCCCAGGACTCATATGCATAATATGTTAGATGTGTCATAGTTCAATCTCTCCTTTTGCCAGGTCCTGACTCCCTTGTTCTTATAGGTGTTGTTCCTGAGAGCAGTTCTCAACAAGCTTCCTAAAAACAAATTTCCACCTAGAGTCTGTTTTCCAGAAAACTTGACCTAAGATGTCTCCTAACTGATCCTCTTCAGACTGTTCTTGACATGGTGGCTGGTGTGATCCTGTTAAAACAGGTGAGATCATACCACTTCTCTGCCAAACATCTTCTAGAGGCTTCCATCTCACTCAGAATACAGGACAGTACGTCCTGTGTCCTGATGTGAGTTGACCCCCAAACCGTCTCTTTGATCTAATATCCCACCATGCCTCTCCCTTCTATTCTGCTGTAGCCACAGTGGCCTTCTTGATGTCCCTGACCATATCAGGCTTGCTCCACAGGCCTTTGCACATGCTGTTTTCTCCATCTGGAATAAGTGACAGCTAGATGTCTACATGGTTTAGTCTCCACTATTTCCTAAGTAGCTGTACTCAGATGTCACCTTCTCAGTGAGACCTTTTTGGCCGTCCTATTTATAAGTTCAAACCCATCCCCTTCTGTGAAGCTCCTTTCCTGCCTGCTTAGATTTTCTTCTTTAGGACCTATCACCATCTAACATATGATGCATTTCATTTAGTTATCATGTTTTTTGCCTAGTCCCTCAATAAAATGTATGCTCCACAAGGCAGGTTTTCTTTTGTTCATTGCTATATGCCTAGAGCCTAAACAGTCCCTGGTATGAAGGAGGTGCTCAACGAATAAACAAATTTTAGACATGCATATTTTGGGGGCACCTGAGTGGCTCAGTGGGTTAAGCCTCTGCCTTCGGCTCAGGTCATGATCTCAGGGTCCTGGGATCGAGCCCCGCATCGGGCTCTCTGCTCGGCGGGGAGCCTGATTCCCCCTCTCTCTGTCTGCCTGCTTGTGATCTCTCTCTCTCTCTGTCAAATAAATAAATAAAATCTTAAAAAAAAAAAAGGAAATGCACATTTTGTTTAATTCATGCAACTATAATCAGATTGTCATGTACCTGCTCAAAGTATCGTAAAACCACAAAGAACATACCTGGGCTACGAAGTCTATTATCTTCCCCTTGATGTGAACATCCTCAAGGGGAACTGAATTGCCAGAGACATCCTGCAGACCGGACTTGATGTTGCTGGAAGGTTTGGTGTCTGCTAACTGATAATCTACACATTAAAAAATTATAATGTTAGCTTTTAAAACCATCCCTGCACTGTTTTGTTATCTTGTTATTCCTTCTCCTTTCCTTCATACATTATATTTTAGGAAAAATGGACAAGCAGCATTTTATGATTTTCAATAGCCAATGCTGTAAAGTAAATGAACCCATGTGAGAAAAATGGGGGTAGCCTCCATAATAGACACTCTGCCTTTTTAATCTAGTGACTCTGAGGATTCATCTTGAAACTTTACAGTCACACAATTACTTGAAAGACATACATTTAAGCATATGCACAAGTTCACAAAAGTCTTTAAGAATTTATAAGTGTAGTTTATTCAAGAATCTAGATATCTCCATTCCCTAGCCTGTGATTTTGATTGGTCAGTCACTAATATTTATTGTGCCACAAAAGCATGTCAGACCAATATGAGATCCCTTAGACTTTCAGTCCAACGAACACTAAATCAAACTTCTAATACAGCATATGAAAAAAATGTTCCCCTTCTATACCAGGTGGTACAAAAATACACATATAATTAGATATGTAAATATATACTCTCTAGCCAGACATTTCATTTAATACTCCCAGAGGAAAAAAAGGAGTCATTTTCTTATACATGAAAGTCATACATTTCTGACAAAAAATAATTTGATCACAGTTAAAAATGTTTATGTGTTTTTATAAGGCTATTAATAAATATTAAAATAGTTTGGGCTTACAATTTTCTGAGAAGCTATCATCCTCTCATATACTTCTACTACTGACATATAAGCTGCATATTACAGTTTTGGGAGTATCTTTGCTTAATGCAGATACTGATCTCATTTGCAACACAGAGTAACTGAGGCCCAAAAAGCTTATGCAGTTTGTTTCATATTGCACAGCCTAGTAAGTGGCGAGTTGATACTTGAAGCCGAGGTTCCTGATTCTAAAGCTGGGTCCTCTGTCCACTTCACCAATCCCCATTACACTTTTTGTGCTTTGACATCTTCAATTGCTTCAGTAGGTTTTAGCATCAGCTGTCCAGAGGTGCACGAGCTCAACTTAGGCATGTTAACAAAGTAATATGTGATTTTTGAGATCACTGAACCTCTCTCAAGTATCCTGGTTTTTATTTTTACAAAATAAAGAAGGGAATGGAATATTTATATATGAAACCATAGATACAGTTCCTGAACATGAACATAAATTCCTCTAAAAATAAAACGTTTGAGTTCTATAAATATCACATAAAATAGCATTCAAGAAAAGTGTCTTACCTTCAACATTTGAAAAATTTGAAAACTCAGGTCTGTATTCCTCTAATTCAGTAGTGTTACAAGGATGAAAGCCCTTTATTTCATCTCCAAATATACAAAATTTAATAATATATTTCATTTTAATCTGATTGGTTTTATATACAACAAATTCATCATCCTAGAGCCAACATAAATGAATAGGTGGGGGGAAAAACCTTTATTGGCAAATGTTCTCATAAAAGCAGAATTGCAGGTTTGCTAATTTAGAAAATACTGAATTCAGAGAGTCACAGATATGCAACAATTACTTCAACTTAAGCATATTCAATAAAAACAGGAGCCTCTCTGCCTGTTTCCTGAAATAAATACCTCAAAGTCTGTGGTGACAGTGGCTGTTGCTCGCATCCCATGGACACTGTCATAACCTGGTGGTGCTTCCGACAAGGAGAAGTCTTTTTTGTTCAAGTCCATGCACTTCCCAAGGGCTACATCACAGACAACCAAGAGCCTTGTGCCATCTGTCTCTCCTGAGTGGGAGTACTTAGTACTCGTGCTGCATTGGGAAAGGAAGTAATGTGTTTGTAATTTATGGTCATGGCAACAATATTTTATTACCTCTTATCCATCTCTATATGTGAAATACTGTCTAAATGACTGTACTGGCAGAATGTTCCAAATTTTACTGCTATTGAAATATCTCTGAAGATTCAATTTAGAACTTTATTGTTTACCCATTTGTTTAAAACTTTAATGTGAAAATCACATATGTTTCGCTTCTATTGTGCTGGGCTGTGCTCAAAGTACTTTCTTCCAGAGAGAGATGAATTCTACTGTTTCCCCAAATCTTTATTAATTACTAAAATACAAACATTTTGGTATGGCAAACACCAAAGTGATGAAAGAGAAGGAAAATCCCCCACCTTTTTAATTAAGAAGCAGTAGATTACTTCTCTGTACTAAAGTTCAGAGAGAACATGATATACCAGGTAAATAAGAACTGCTCAAAGAGAAAGATGGGCACTGTATTCTCACAGGCTTCTGAATCCAAAAGGAGAAACAAAAATTTCAAATGACATCTAAGTGAGAGATTTTGTTTTGACTTTCTTCAGGACTCAGCAGCTTTAAAAAAGCAACTTTTGCAATTAAGGAGCATAGGCTAGGACATCTATGGGAATAACATTTTGGGGATAGACTTCTATTTTTCCAAATATCAAGACCCAAATGTAAAAGCATTTGTTCTATCCCCTCTAAGACTTGCCCCCTTTTATCTTTTATTTTTAAAAAAATATTTGATTTTTAAGTAATCCCTACACCCAACACGGGGCTTGAACTTACAACTCTGAGATCAAGGGCCACATGCTCCACTAACTGAGCCAGCCAGGTGCTCCGAGACTTGCCCCCTTTAAAAAAAGTAACCGATTTCCCCCATTCTTCCTATAAACTTCCTTCCCTGTGGCCACCAAACCTGTGACCCTTAGCTTTGTCCCAGTTTCCTCCCTCTCCATTTCCTGCCTTTCACAATGACTGCCTCTGCCTGGTTGCTTGCCCATCACCACTCAACCTGCCACAGTTTGGCTTCTCCACTGAAACCACTCTGTCCAGAGTCACCAAGGACTTCAACTTGGTAAATTCAATGGAATGCCAATTTATTTTTAAAAAATCGTGACATCTAAAAAAGTTTACTTTGAAATAATTTGTACGCAGGAAAGGGCATTTATACTACAAATGTGAAGTTTTAAGAATAACGATAAGACAAACAACCACATGGCTACTGCCTAGTTTAAGAAACAGAACATCATCAAGACTTCTGTGTTGCCCTGTGGCATCACTTTCCTTGCCACCCACAGGTAATCTAATTGGAATCTTGTTTTTTTGGTGTATATTATTTTTTTCTTTTATAGTATTGATGCATAGGTATGTGTCCCTGAATAACATGCTTAGTTTTGCTTGTGTTTGAACTTTGCATACATATAGAATCACATAGCAATTTTTTGTTCCACATCATGTTCCTAAGGCTCATCTATTAGGCATGTGTAGCTGTAGCACACAGGTTGAAACTGCCATATAGCACTCCATGTAGGACTACACCAAAAATTTTCAATCCATTCCACTGTCAATGGACATCTGCATCATTTCCAGGGTTCTATTACTACAGTTTTCTTGGCCATTCCTGTGCATGCCTCCTAGTCTGTGTCTACTTACTAGGGTAGTGATTCTCAACCCAGGCTGCATATAATCATCATCCAGGGAGCTTAAAAATCTATTGATACCTAAACCTCACCCTTGGAGATCCTGATTTAACTGATCTGGGGTGAAATCAGCACCAGTAATATTTAAAACCTCCTCCAGCTGGGGAGGTGGTGGGGGAGATGGTGGAAATAGGTGATGGGGATCACTTATGATGAGCACCCTGTAGGGGCCTGGTTAGCCAGAGGGAGCCGTTTGGTTGCAAACTTAGATTGACACCGCCCCTCCCAGAGGAACTTACTTGCAAACCCTGGATATAGGCCCGGCGGGATGGAGACATCCAATCAGTGGGGCGTGCATATATTTACTGTGGTGTGTTGCAATCTCATCGGCCACCTGTGTGTGGGCTGGGCTCAACCACCTCTATAAAGGTTAGTCTGTGAGGCTGGTTTGGGGGGAGTAGTAGGAGGAGTTGTAATAGCCGTTGGGGTAGCCATTGGAGTAGTCATTGGAGTAATAGTCATCGCTGGGAGCAGCGCCCCCTGGAGGAGCCTTGCCGCCGCCAGTGGTGGCACCGCTGCGACCGGCTTTGCCAGAGCAGCAATGTCCGGGGAGCGGCCTTGTTGGAGTGGCGTCATGGGGAGCAGAGTTTGTGTTGTCGGGGTTGTCGTCCTCATCGTCGTTGTTGCCTCTTTGTCATCCGGGGAGTGGCCTCGCTGGAGCGGCGTTGTTGTCCTCGTCATCATCGCCTCTTTGTCGTTGGGAGTGGCGTCCTCGTCATCGTCGCCTCTTCATAAGAGATGGCCCCGACCGGTTGGTTTGATTTTCGATGCTTGGCGCGAAATAAAGCTTTGCTTGTTTTTCGCTTTGTGTCAGTCTCGTTCCTTTGATCACGGATCCTAACACACCCCATGACGCACGGAAGTGTTGAATCACTGTATTATACACCTGAAACTAACATTATACTCTACTAACTGGAATTGGAATAAAAACTAAAAAAAGTCCTTCAATTTAAAACAGTCTCCTCAAGGTGATCCAGTGTGTAGCCAGGATTGAGAACCACTGCTTCCTGGTTCATAGGCCAGCTAATCCATAGGATTCGTGAGTCATACTATCAACTATGCTCTTCAACTATAGCAGGTGATGCCAAAATTTTCTCAAGAGGGCTTATCAGTTTAATACTACTGTAAGGGCCTGGTTGGTCAGAGGGAGCCATTTTGTTGCAGTAAACTTAGATTGACCCTATGCAGTGAACTTAGATTGACCCTGCCCCTCCCAGAGGAACTTACTTGCAAAGCCTAGATACAAGGGTGGGTCAGGCCAGGTGAAGACATCCAATCAGAGGGGCGCGCATATATTTACTGAGGTGAGTTTAAATCCCATTGGCCACCTGTGTGGGGGCAGGGCTCAACCACCCCTATAAAGGTTAGTTTGCGAGACTGAAGCTGAGAAGAAGAAGGAGAGCCGTCGAAGAAGGAGAGCCGTCAGGAGGAGTAGGAGAGCTGTCGGAGAAGTAGGAGAGCCGTTGGAGGAGTAGGAGAGCCGTGGCAGGAGTAGGAGAGTCATCAGAGCTGTCAGAGCCATCAGAGCTGTAAGAGCTCTCAGAGCCACCAAAGCTGTCAGAGCTGTCAGAGCGGTCAGAGCTGACAGCTCTGTCAGAGCCATGAGAACCGCCAGCGGCCTAGCTGCCAGCAGCCTTGCCACCACCGAGCCGCAGCCTTGCCATGAATGGCCTCGCTGCCCCTAGCGACCTTGCTGCCCCGAGCCGCGAGCGGCCTCGCCACCCCAAGCCATAGCCCTGCCACGAGGGGCCTTGGCCCCCGCCCCGCGAGTGGCCTTGCTGCCCGGAACCATGGCCCTGCCGCGAGGGGCCTCACCGGAGCGTCATCATTCCATGGAGCGGCCTTGTCCAGAGCGGCCTTCACCAGGGAGTGGCCCTGTCAGCGTGCGGCCTCGTCGTCAAGCGGCCTCGTCCGGAGCAGCCTCATCCGGAGCGGCCTCGTCTGGGGAGCGGCCTCGTCAGCGAGTGGCCTCATCTGGAGCGGTGGCCTCCTCTGGGGAGCAGCCTTGTCAGAGTGGCATCATGGGGAGCAGAGTCTGTGTCATCGGGGTTGTTGTCCTCCTTGTCATCATCGCCTCTTCGTCGTCAGCAGCAGCCTTGTCCTGGGAGTGGCCTCGTCCAGAGTGGCCTCTTCTTGGGAGCAGCCCTGACCAGGGAGCGGCCTCGCTGGAGCAGCACCTGTCCGGGGAGCAGCCCTGCCCTGGGAGGGACCTCGTCAGCAGTGGCCTTGTCCTGGGAGTGACCTCGTCCAGAGTGGCCTCTTCTTGGGAGCGGCCCTGTCCAGGGAGGGACCTCGTCAGCAGCAGCCTCGTCCTGGGAGCGGCCTCATCCAGAGTGGCCTCTTCTTGGGAGCGGCTCCGATCGGGGAGTGGCCTCATCTGCAGAGCGGCCTCGTCTGGAGTGGCCTCGTCTGTGGAGCAGCCTCGTCCAGAGCAGCCTCATCCGGAGAGGCCTTCTTGGGAGTGACCTTATCGGGGTCATCGTTGTCGCCTTTTCGTAAGAGACAGCCCTGACCGGTCAGTTTGATTCTTGATGCTTGGCGTGAAATAAAGCTTTGCTTGACCTTCGCTTTGTATCAGTCTCGTTCCTTTGATCACGGACCCCAACTTTGGGGGCTCGTTCGGGATCAAATGATGAGACTCGAGCCAGCATTGGAATTTTTGGGAAAAAGCCTTCAGAGGTATTGGGTTTTTGGGTATTGGGATCTTGGGTATTGGGATCCTATCTGTCTGTCTGGTTGCGGAGCTCCAGGGTATAGCCCACTGGGGAGAAGCTGGACGTGGCCATGCTCCCCAGGGCTGGAGTGGATGCGGGGATGCCCCATCCCAATGCTGGTAGATCGACGGGGGGTTCGAGTCCCCCTGGGTGGTCGGGGGGTTCGAGTCCCCCTGGGCGGTTGGGGGGTTCGAGTCCCCCTGGGCGGTTGGGGGATAAAGAAAGCCCCCACCAGTGGCAGGTTCTGGGTGAGAATCGTTGGGTCTGCGGTTGTCTTTGCTTGGTTCTTTGTCTGTTGTGTGGTTTGTTGTGTTTGCAGGGGACCAAGAAAGTCCCCACCAGCAGCAGGCTCTGGATGGGGATCGCTGGGCCTGCGGTTGTCTTTGTCTTGCCTTTTTGTTGTCTGTTGTGTTGTTTATTGTATTGGGAGAAATGGGACAAATGGGGAGTAAGGGGCCTGTGACACCCCTAGGTCTTGTTCTTGAACATTTCAAGGATTTTCAAGGTAAAGCCACTCAGTCAGGTGACAAGGTTTAACTGGGAAAACTAAAAACACTCTGCCAATTAGAGTGGCCCACTTTCTCCACAGG